CTAGGCGAGCCAAACATTTAAACATTTTCGGTTGACAACATAACAATACTAAAATAATGAGTCTTTAAATAAATGCGGAAGTCTAAAAAGAAAAGGAACATAATAACTAAAAACCCAAAATGCGAAAGTTTAATATTTCTCTACCCAAGACTGGAGTCGCTATCTCACGAACTACTAAAGAGTGCTACAAACAAGTCTGAATAGAAAATGCCTAAATATCTGTCTCGGTACAATGAAGACAAACTGAAAACATAGAAAGGGACTCCGGCCTGCGAACGCCAGCTAGGCTACCTCGTAAGTCCCTGGACTTAAGTCAGGTCCCGATCAATATCCTACTGCAGTGGTCCAAAAGCTGCTCCGATACCGTGATCTGTGCAAAAGAGCACAAAAGTGTAGCATCAGCACAACCGACCCCATGTGCTGGTAAGTGCCTGGCCTAACCCCGGCGAAGTAGTGACGAGGCTAGACCGGACTACCAAACCAACCTGTGCAGTCAATATATATATATGCAATAAAAGGAAAGAACAAAGAAATTAAACAGTTAAGAGGGGGGAAGCATACTATGGGGGAGTACAGTCCGGATATGAAGTCAACAGTTTAAATAAGAAACAGGGCAATAACAATAATTAATGAGAGCAGGAAAATCAACAGTTGCACGGCATCAACCTTCGTGCTTTTACTCTCATCCTCACCAAAAGCAATCAAATAAAGTGCACGGCATCACCCTTCGTGCTTTCCTTCACGTAACTCTCATATCATGGCACGGAATGATGATCCTTCGTGCAATTAGTATCAAATCAGAGCACGGAATGTCCCTTCGTGCAGAAATAATCAAAACATGGCACGGAATGACCCTTCGTGCGAATATAATCAAAACATGGCACGGAATGACCCTTCGTGCAAATATAATCAAAACATGGCACGGAATGACCCTTCGTGCATTATCACTCTTCCTCACCCAACCAGTAATCACAACCAAACGGGGCGAGGGGATAAACAAATAATAAGAAATGTCCCGGCAAGGGAATTACACAATTAACAGCTAAATCCCGGCAAGGAAGCAACAACAATACTTTCTATTTCGGCAAGGGAGATAATCCATATACTCAAACCATCCCGGCAAGGGATTAATCATATCTCTTTCTATTCCTTTCATTTCTTACTCAATAGTCCTTTTGTCGTTCGAGCCAACACTCCAAAGAATTTACAATTCATAATTAATCCTCATACTCTTCACATTGCATAGAATTCATCAATTAACATGGAAGAGTCATAACAACATCAGAATAAGTACAAACAAGGACCCACGATCATGCTAGACACCGGTGTATAGATACTCGTCACCATGCCTATACACCGTACTCGATCATTTAGCAATTAGCGAATAATAACACTCTAATCCTATTCCTTCAAGCCAAAGTTAGATCAAACACTTACCTCGAATGCTCCAAACTCAACTCAATCCTCTAGTATAGCTTTACCCCTCGAATTCTCCACCAAACCGCTCGAATCTAATCACAAATTACTTGAATCAATTTGAATGCATGAAAATGAAATTTCCCAAAGTTTGTTCAAAAATTCCCAAAATGCCCCCGGGCCCACGTGGTCAAAACCCGAGTTTCGAACCAAAATCCGATTACCCATTCCCCCATGAATTCAGATATATAAGTTATTTTAGAATCGAACCTCAAATTGAGGTCCAAAACCCCCAAATTTAGGAACCCTAGTTCTACCCTAAATTCCCAAATTCCCCCATTAAAATCCTTGGTTTGAAGTTGAAATTATGTTTAAGGATGTTAAGGAGTATAGAAAATCAGTTAGAAATCACTTACCAATCGTTTTGAAGAAGTAGAATCGTTTGGAAAATCGCCTCTTATGTTTTGGGTTTTGAAAAAGTGAAAAATGACTGAAAATCCCGACATTATATACTGTACTGAAGACCTGGCGCGGACCGCACAAAAATGCCCCGCGGCCGCGCCGAGGAAGGGTGGGGAAACCACTCTCTGAACCTACCCAGCGAGGACCGCACTGATTTGGTGCGCGGCCGCGCTGGTTGAATGAAATCCCAAGGCCCCTCTCTAAATCTTCCAGTGCGGACCGCGCTGATATGGCACGCGGGCGCGCTGGTCGAATTGGGAGTCATTGGCCCTCTGAACCCAGCCACGCGGACCGCGTAAAAGTGCACCGCGGCCGCGCGGACCGCGCGGAAATGACCGCGGCCGCGCTGGGGGCCTGCAACACCTGGACCTGCAACACGTGATACTTTTAAGTCTAAGACCTCCCGGGACCTACTCAAAACTCACCCGAGCCCTCGGGGCTCCAAACCGAACATACATAAAATCTCAAAAACATACTCCAGACTCATTCGTGCGATAAAATCGCCCAATTAACATCATGAATCATCAAATTGGGCCTCAATACCCATGATTTCCTTCCAATTTCCATAGAACATCAAGTTTATATTTCCTAGCTCACAACACGTCAAATGACGTCCAAATTTAACCAAACTTTATAGCAATTGCTTAAATCATATTTAAGACTTGTGCCGGGCGTCGGAACCAAAATACGAGCCCAACAGCACAGTCTTCTAAACAAATAACACCTTCCAATTCTTTAATTATTTTCAGAAAACAATTTCACACAACAATTCGTTTCTCGGACTTGGGACCTCGGAATTTGACTCCGGGCATATGCCTGAGTCCCATATTTTTCTACGGGCCCTCCGGGACCGTCAAATCACGGGTTCGGGTCCGTTTACCCAAAATGTTGACCAAGGTCAACTTTAATCATATTAATATCAAAATTCAACATTTTTCACACAGAATTCATACTTATGCTTTCCGGCTACGCGCCCGGATTGCGCACGCAAATCGAGGCAACCAAAAATGAGGTTTTCAAGGCCTCGGAGACACGGAATGAGTGAGAAAACAGGTGATGACCCTTTGGGTCGTCACAAATTTAAATTAGGGACCAAAGCTGGTCGCTAAATTTAAATCAGATTTATTTATATTTTATATAATATTTAAAATAATAATATAATTGTTAAACGGGTCCCATATTAGCGACCAAAGTTGGTCTCCATTTTATAAGCGACCAACTGCGGTCGCTAACTTTGAATTATATTTATTTATATTTTATAATTTTTTTAAATAATAATATAATTATTAAAATTTTATAATAGGGTCCCATATTAGCGACCAAAGTTGGTCTCTATCTACTTACCCTTTAATTAGCGACCAACTTTGGTCGCTCATTTTAAATTATATTTATTTATATTTTATAATTTTTTAAAATAATATTATAATTATTAAAATTTAATAAGTGGGTCCCCCAATAGCGACCAACGTTGGTCGCTAATCTCAGTATTTCTTTGACCAAGCAAGTCTGACCAGTCCGGTCAATATTTTGACGAAATTATTAACCAAATAGCGACCAACTTTGGTCGCTAATGTATTTAAAATAATTATTTTATTATTTTCTCCAATTTAGAGACCAACGTTGGTCGCTTTTCTTGAAAGACCAACTTTGGTCGCTAAAGTTTGATCGCTTTTTTCCGGAATTCTAGTAGTGATTGTTAATAAATTATTATCCATTAAGCGAATTATTGGCCAATTAATCATATTTATGTCTACACCAATAATAATCGCAATAACGTAAACTTAATAGTTTAATACTTAGGGGATAACAAATCTTGAAGTTTGATTACACATCAATTATAGTTTGGTTATTGAATCTATAGTAAGATTTCACTTTATTCATAAATGGATTGCTAAAATCTAAACAAGAAAGTAAATTGTAACGTCATTTTTTTTAATTTTAAAATATGCGCTCAATATATTACTACTTACAAGGCATTACTATTTTGAATCTTCTAGTGCCATATTTTATTTTTAACCTCGCTAGTCAAAACGTTCAAATAGTTAATCCAATAATCAATAAATTACAATTCAAATAAGGTTATATGAAATATTTGATCGCGAGGTGTAGTCCTACCACTTTTTTCAACTTAGATATATGCGTACATGCACATAATTTTCCAAGTTTTACTAAAAAATTGACGTTTTTTATCAATATGCCTCATCGCCCATAGTCTCTCTCGTTCATGTGTTCTCCTTATAGTATTCATCCATGGTAGGATATATTATGAACACTTGCTCAACCATTAGATTTTTTTTCCCGCGACTGATTCTTTATCATGGTATTTATACTTTGACTTAATCTTGATCTATTCCGGCCTTCATTTTGTGGTATATTTCAACGTATGCATATTTTTCTGACCTATATAATAACACTAGCGTACAATATTGAATTTAAGATGATACAAAATTCTCCATTGGTAACCAATAATTATTCATTAAGCGAATATTTAACTAATTGATCACTTTTATTTCTATACTAGATCGTAATAACGTAACTTTAATAACTTAATACTTAGAGGATAAATCTTGAAGTTTGATTGCACAACAATTATAGTGTGGTGGTTAAATCTATAGTAAGATTTCACTTCACTCATAAATGGAATGCTAAAATCTGTTACAAAAAAGTAAAATTTTAATTTTGTAGTTTTAAAGTATGCGTTCAATATCTTACTACTTTCAAAACTTTATTATTTTATAGCCTTTATTGTCATGTCTTATTCTTAAACTCATCGAGAAAAAATGTTCTAATCGATAATCCAATAATTAAGAAATTACAATTAAAATAAGGTTATACGAAATATTTGGTCGGCAGGTGCGTCGTACCCACTCCTTTCGATTTAAATCATCTATGTATGATGTATATGATCAAACACACACTATGCACGCACATATACTATATGCAGTTTTCACCAATACGCTGACGTTTTGGCCCAGACAAAGCACGCTTTTGATGTGTCCTAGTTGTCGTAGTAGTTGTTACACGTAATAGCCATGCCGAGAACACGTGACCCTCCCCTTTCTTCTGAGTCTTAAAACTCTATATAAACCGCTTCAATTAGTTGTATTGTGTTTTTACAACTTCCGTTACTTGTTTAGCCAATTAGCCCCCTTCCTGAAGAACCCTCGAATCTCTCTCTCTACATATATATACAGATAGATTTGACAATCGTTTGAATTGGATCTGGTAGAAAGGAATGTCAATTCACTTCAAATTCAGGAGCTGTCCAAGCTTCGATTCCGTTGATATAGACGGCCGGCCGTCTATCTCGGTGCGGGAGCTGAGGTTGAAGATCATCCGCCGCAAGAATCTCAACATTTGTCAGGACTTTGATCTCGTTTTCTCTGACGCCCTCTCCGGCCAAGGTCCTTTAATTCTTCTGAATTTTTTTCCTTCTGTTTTTGTTTTGAGTCATTAATTAGCCGTTTATTTATTACACTTTATGCGCACGGCTTGGAATTTATTAATTCAGAGATACATAGAGCTATTTATAGATAGTGCTTATATATTCATAGGTTCCTGATTTTTAATGTTTGAAATGTAGTTTTAATGAGTGTGCAACAGAAAGAGAGAGATTGAGAGAGAGCGAGACAGAGAGAGATTGTGTGTGTGAGAGAGCGAGTGACGTGTATGTGAGTGTGGTGACATACATGTATTTGAAAATTTAACTTAATTCAGAGATGCGTATATCAACGTGTTTGTGCGCATGTGAAAGCTTACGTTTGGGAATTTTTTGTTGAAATGTGTGTGTGTGTGTGTGTGTGTGTGTGTGTGTGTGTGTGTGTGTGTGTAAGACAATGCAACAGACAAAAAATTCCTTATGCTGAAATGTATGATCAGAGTAATATATATCTATGGGTTCCTAATATGTGTTTGCATGTCTGAAATTTATCTTAATCTTCTTGTGTTATTCATTGCAGAGTATAATGATGAAAATTTTCAGATTTCGAGTGGGTCAAGTGTAATTGTCAAGAGAGTTCCCGCTGGAACGATCCCTTCAGCTACTAAGTGAGTTCTTATTTCTTTGAAATGCAAAATCCCTTTTGGGAAATTTTACTAATATATGTCTTACTATTAGGTATTACCTCAATTGAATTAATTTTATAACTAGATTCTTTCGTCATTTGTTGTGAGAGTGTGCTTTCGTCATTTGTTGTGAGAGTGTGATATTGAGCTTTTCCCTGCAATGACTAATTGATATGTATTGTATGAGGTAAGATTATTTTGTGAACGGTATAAAAGAGAATTGATGTTCTTATGGATGGGCTTTGTATTGTTGACTTGGCATTTATTGGTAATTTTTTGAGTTAGAGCACTATGAATGTCGCACAAAATGGACATACAATTATATTAGTTAATAGAAGAGGTGGATGGCATGGAGCCATGGACAGCTAGATGACCATGATCTGAAGTGATATGGTATAAAAATGAGTTGTTGCTCGAGTGAAGGTTGGCGCTTTTGAACGCCATTTGCATATGCCTGCGTTCAAAGAACCACTGAGGATGCATATGCTGTCTTTTATAGTTTTTTTGTATTGGTCGCGATTGATTCTATTTGAGTAGTATCCGGCAATAGTCATGTGATAGTTTTTCTTGATATTTGTTGAGATCGATTATGCATGTGTAGCACTCAGCAATAGTGTATGTGCTATGAGCATATTTGGATGGGCTGCAATTTGTTCTAGTTGGAATGTGGTGAAGTGGAAGCCTTGCTATAGTTGTGGTGTTAGCTGGTGCGATCGCAAAGGATTGTCTTGAATGGTTAGCGTCCGTGCGTAGGCAGTTGAAACCACTCATTAAATGAGAGTGTCGGTTCGAAATCCAAACAGAAAGTTGTACTGCTTTATCAAGGATTGCAATGTTGTCAAAGGATTGTTTGAGACGCGCTTAAACCCTGAAATTAGGTTCAAAACAGGTTGTGTGCCTTGCCTTGCTTAAGCGGTAGCCATACCAAGGCGCTAAGGCACGTGCCTCGTCGCCCGTAGGCTGTCTCAAAAAAGGCTGACTCCGAACAAGAAATATTTCACCTAATTGTAACTTATCCAATTCTTTTGTTTACATAATTGTGGTTTGGGGTCATTATTCTTGAACACATTTTCCCTTCAACTGCACCTTTCTTTATTAATTATTAATGCTTACCGTTTAGAGCTCCAACTAGCTTCAGTTTTTCTTTCCGTCTCTGATAACACTGAATGATCGCAAATCATGGTGATGTCCTTAAGTCAACGTTTGTGGTTTGAGATTGCTGTAACAGTGCTTCATTGAGAGCATACTTTTTTTTTTTTGATAAGGTAAATAATTTTATTAACAATTGGGAAGAACCCCCTGTACAAGCCATATATATCTATTTTTGTGCCGTTAGTAGGCCTAGTCTTTCCGGCAAT